TGCCAGGAGCCACAGCTGGACACAGGACATACTCCACATCTGTGCCGAGCCTGTGAGCAGGAGCTGGGTCAGCAGCAGGGTCCCACAGCCTGGCTGTGACTCTGCTGCCTCCCTGGCTGTGGAGGGAGCACAGACCCTAGTGAGGCCTCCTTGGAGAGCTATCCCCTAGATAAGAATTGCATGGTGACCAGGCTAAGAAACCTTTCCCTGCTTTCAAGCCCCCCGCTTTATCTCCTTGTAAAACTATTGGTCATATTTCCAAAACCCTAAACTATTGGTCCATAAGCCAAGACGCACTGACCCTATAAAAACCTCCGCTTTTACCGAGTTCAGTGGACTGCTGCTCTCCCTGGACTCCCCTTCACAGAAGAATAAAGAACTCTGTGGAACTTCTACACAGACAGGCTCGGTCTCATCTCTCTGCCCGGCCGGAGGTACCTTCAGCAAGCCAAGCTGAAATCGCTCTGAGCTGAAATCACTGTAAGAGCTGATTGCCTGAACCCCAGGCCTCGCTTGCATATTGGCACCTTGTGGCTGAAGCCTGCCTGAGACACCAGGAAAGGCTGTTCCTTGTGGGATTTCCTATCCGGGAACATCGGTGGCAGCCAGGGCTGATCGACCCCAGACAGCTACACCTGTCTGATGTCTGAGACTGTAGATGGCTACTAGGATCAGGCACAGACCCCTCATGCTGCATCCAGCAGAGAATAAGCACTGGGTACTTGCACTTGTGGCAGAGGTAAGCAGGAGAGCTGCACCAGTGTGCTCTCTGACTGAACTGGGAAGGGGAGATCTGGTGAAGAACACTTGGCTGCAAGGACAGCATCACACTCACGTGTGCAGTGGGTGAAGTTGGAGGTGCTGGCGTGGAAGGGCCCAGCTGTGGCACTCACTGCCACGCTGTAGTGGGTGCCAGGGCTCAGGCTCCTCAGGGTGTGACTCCTGGCATCACCACCCAGCACCGTGTGCCCGACAGGAGTGCCAGACGCTGCATCATGGACATCCACCACAAAGCCTTCTGCCCCTCCACCCACCACGGCCCAGGACACCACCAGCACTGAGGCTGAGCGGCTGCCCAGGGTGAGGTTGACAGGGGCCAAGGGATCTGGAAAGCAACAGGGAGACAGTTAGCCCTCCTGGTCAGTGCTGAGAGCTGGCTGCTGTGCCCAGGGTTCCTCCAGGTGGGCAGGCTGGACAGAGATCCTCTGGAGAGAAGCCTGGGCACGAAGGGCCAGGCATGACTTTGAGTGTGTCATGCCTGGGGTCTGCAGCTGGATGTGGCAGGGGTGGATAGGGGGATTGGCTCTGTGTCAAGGATGGAGTGAGGGCAGTGAGCAGAAAGGTGGGATCATCACATAGAAGCTGTGGGCATGGCTGGGATGGGGAAGGTAGTGGTGAGTGCTGTGGAAGGCTCAGGCTCACAGTGGAGCACTGTGCCCAACCCAACCAATCAGACTCACATGTCCATTGGGTGATGTTGATGGAAGAGGCTGCTAATGAGCCTTTCACAGCAGTGACCTGCACAGCAAACTTGCTGCCGGCTTCCAGGTGAGTCCAGGTCATGTTCAGGGCATCTGGACTCAAGGTCTGGACCTGAATCCTGCTCTGGGAGCTGAGGCGATACAGAGTAACACGGTAGTGGTCCCTCCTGCCAGGGGGCTTGTTCCAGGATGTGTAAAGCTCTGAGGAGCTGCCTGGGTTGGTAAGGCTCACGTTTGTTGGTGCAGCAGGAACTGCGAGAGAAAAAAGACACACGAGTCAGAGAGGGAAAGATCAACTTCTGAACATGAAGCCACCTTTGTACAAAGAGGCTGTGAGAGGCAGGATGTGACCACAGGCCAGATTCACCAGGAACCAGGCCAGGCTCCTCTCCTCTCCTCTCCTCTCCTCTCCTCTCCTCTCCTCTCCTCTCCT